CCTCTCAGCGCGGGGGGGTGTTTTTTTTTTTCTTGGAAAACCCCGACAATTGTGATTAAAGAAGGCCCGTGGCCCGCGAGGGCAGGCTTCCCGGCAGGAGGCTGCAGCCCTGTGCCCCGCTGCAACAGGAGCCCAGGAGGTGCCCAGCACTTCCTGCTCAGCAAGAGACCCCCTGTGCCGCAAGTGCAGCTGCCCCCTGATCTCCTTGGGATGCAAAGAGAAGACAGGCTGGGGGGCTCACGCTCTCATGGAGCCTCCATACCCGGGGCTGGGCTACCACGTGTGCAGCAACTACTGAATAGCTGCTACCTTAGGAAGTGGCCTTGAGAAGTAACCCAGAACTACTCTCAAGCCCACCTTTAACGTCAAATAAACCTGCAGGTCAGAAAACACACGGGAAAACATCGGCCACTGAGGCGAGCTGCTCCAGAGAGGGACCACTCTGCAGGTCTCAGTGCAGAGGCCTGGGCTGCACTTGCACTTCTAAAAATCAGCCAGGGGCACGTTGGGAGCACCAAGTGCTCCATAACCAGAGCAGGCAAACACAGCCTGGAGTGGCAGTTTATGTGGAAGGGTGTTCTCACTCAACCAGTTCATGATGTAGTCATCACCCTCTCAGAAGCTTAGCTATGGTCTCCACCTGGCAGAAAGCCATGTACTCTGCACTTGCCAGAATGGCTGCAGCCATTCAAGAGTGCACTCCCATGAACACGTGCCCAGGTCTCAGGCTGCAGGCTGTGCTGGAGCCTTTCACTGGAAATGCGTGGCACTGGTAAGAACACCTGTGTGAGATGTGGACAACCTGCTCAGCCTGGTGGCAGAGCTACAGCGTGAACTAGAAAGGTTAAGGAGCATCAGGTAGTCAGAGAAAGAGAAATTGCTGGAACCAAGCTCTGCCCTCCTTGAGACAGAAACAGCAACGAGGGAAAAAGGCAAATGGTGTCCCCTCAGGGGTCCCTAATGGGACCCATACTGTTTAATAGCTTCATCAGTGACACAGACAGTGGGATCAAGTGTACCCTCAGCAAGTTTGCACATGACATCAAGCTGAGTGGTGCAACTAACATATGAGGGACGGGATCCATCCAGAGCGACCTGGATAAGCAGGCCTGTGCAAATCTCATGAGATTCAACAAGACCAAGTGCAAGGTCCTGCACCTGCGTTGAAGAAACTCCCGGTATCAGTAAAAGCAGGATTGAGAGCAGCCCTGCAGAGGACTTCAGGGTGCTGGTGGGTGAAAAGCTGGACAGGAGCCAGCAATGTACACTCAGCCCACAAGACAATGGCAGCCTGGGCTGTACCCCCAGCAGCATGGGCAGCAGGGCAGGGAAGGGATCCTGCTCCATTCTGGGGAGACCCCCCTGCAGTGCTGGGGCAGCTGTGGATTGCTCAGGTCGGCAGAGACAGGGACCTGCTGGAGCGAGGCCAGAGGAGCCCCAGCAATGCCCCGAGGGGGGAACCCCTCTGCTGGGAGCCCAGCGGGAGAGGTAGGATGGGGCAGCCTGGAGAGAAGGCTCTGGGGAGACATTATTGCAGCCTTTCAGGGCTTCAAGGGCTTATAAGAAAAATGGGACACACACTTTTTAGCAGGACCTGTTTGACAGGACAAGGGGTGATGGTTTTAAACTAAAAGAAGATTTAGACTAGAGGGAAATGTTTTAACCTGAGGGTGGCAAGACCCTGGCCCAGGTTGCCTAGAAAGGTGGTTGATGCCCCATCTTGGAAACATTCCAGGTCAGGTTGGACGGCACTCTGAACAACCTGATCTAGTTGAAGTTGTCCCTGCACACTGCAGAGGGGTTGGACTAGATGACCTTTAAAATGGTCCCTTCCAACCCAAACCAGCCTATGATTCTATAACCCCACTCCCCACACCACTATGTGTGTGGTGCAGGTGCCCAATCCCTATCGGTCCAACCGCACTATCCTAGGTGAGGTTTGATCTGCAGGATGGAGTGAAGCTGAGAGTCACTCTAAAGGCACAACCCCGCTCCCATATGAGGCTGTGGGAGCTGGGGCAGAGGCCAGGGCTGTGTTAAGAGCACATCTGTGATGGCACAGCTAATGCTGAGCCAAGCAGCCAGCTCAGAGCTGCCTCATGGGGCACACATGAACTTGGGAACCTGCAACTTAGCCTTTAGCAACGCTGCCAGGAAGAGAGCAGATGGCCCAGAGGGGCTTTCGCCAGCCAGAAGCCCTGTCCTCACCACTTGGTGGAAACAGGGATCTGTTACCACATTGGGATGCTGCTGGGTACTGCAGCTTCCCCCAGCTCTGCACACAGTACCCCCTGAGGGCACATGGTGGGCTGCCTACTTCCCAGCAGCAGTGCTGTGGCTGGGTAGGACGGTTTTGATTTTGAGTGTGCTGGGAGAGAGGCTCGGGCAGCATCCTCTATTCCTCTAACAAAACTTTTCCATCAGCAGCAGGAAGAGCAAGAGCTCCAGCCTACACTAGTATAAACCCTGCAGATTTGGAATAAAAAGCAGCACAAAACAGGTTAAAAACCTCAAATCTGCTTGAGGCAGGGAGAGTGTGCGCTGGCCAAGGGAGCACTGCAGTGTTGAGCAGACACACCTGCCGAGGAGGGCCCTCTCCACCTCCCTCAAACACAGGCCCCTCCATGGGGGACGGCCCAGGAGGAGCCATGCAGGAAGACACTTTTGTAACACCAGCAGGCTTCAAAGCTCAGCCTTTCTCTGCCAGCCCTTGCTCCACAGGCCACACACAGGCCCAGGTCAGCTCAGCACATGTACCTCCTGCACAGCTCCTCAGGAGAGCCACATGGCTTCCAAGAGGCCAGGGCTGGGAGGAGGGATGGCCACACAGGCTGCGGGCAAACTAGCCTAACGCCCATCTTTAAAAGCTGTATGGAACAACCCTCCCGCAGCACCTACAGCCTGAGGAGAGGAGCTGCAGGAGCTACTGCATGGAGCAGCCGTTGGTGGGCAGGAAGTCGTACACGTACATGGCCACCGACTTGGACAGGTAGGTCATGGTGCCGAACCGACCGCTCGGCGCGCTGTCGTACAGCAGGCTGCAGATGCCCGTCGTGGGATCCCTCTCCAGCATGTGGTCGTCAGCACCCAGGGCTTTCTGGATTTTGGACAAGGAAGGAGAAAGGCAGCATTAGGAAGGAGAGCAGCCCCCTCACCAGCTTCCACCCCAAGCACCTTCTGTTGCACTTGCAGTGTGACTGAGGCTCATTGGTGGCGAGCGGCGGGAGGACACTACGTCCTTACTGTGACCCATGAACACAACGGGGACAAGGAGGGACCCTCCTGAGGGTGAGCCCTGCAGAGCTGTGGGGAATGCAGCCGACAGCAGCCTTGGGTGCAGTCTGTGGCCCCTCCATGAGGCCTGACCCCTACCTGCTCCTCACAGAAGAGGTCATTTGCCATGTGCAAGATCTTTTCCACGGCTATGATGCTGCCAATGGTGTCCACCTCCATGTCCACCAGCATGGTGAGCACCAAGATAGCCTCCACCAGCAGCTGCCTGTACTCCGGCTGGGGCACACGGTTGAGGACTGACTCCACATGCACAGCAAACTTGATTTCCCCTGGAGTCATCTATGAGGTGGGAGAAACAAATGCACCTAGAGCACTGTATCACCACCACAAGTCCTGAGCTATGCCGGGCACTGACCCAGGGAAACCCAGCACCAAACACCTGCCTTCTTTCCCCTTTACATAAAGCTCCTACCTCTTTGGTTGTTGAAGAGGGGAGAACAAAGCCTTCCACAGAGAGGCCATGGCACTGCAGAACAGGAAGGAGACCATCATTATGGGCTGGAGAAGCACTATGCTAAGACATGTAGGTCCAGCCCACGAACTCACTCCCACCTGAGCACTGTTGTGGGCTGTCCACACATCCCAGCTCCACCTCCTGTCCCTTTGCATGGCATCACTCCTTCTCCATGAGTTCAGCATCTGCCAGAGCCCTCTTGCACACAGCACAGGGCTCTGCTTCCTGGCTTGATGAGCCGTGCCCAGAGAGCCCTCCTCTGGATGAGCTATGCCCAGAGCTGCTTCAGCTCTGGCTTCGGCCCTCAGCCCTGCCCATGCCTGGCTAATATATATAGCACCTGAGCATGCCTAGCCCCCTTCTATAAGAGGCAGCACACTATGAGGTAGGTCCAGCATGCCCACAAGGCAGCTCCAGGTCTTCCCCAGCCTTCCAGGGCCACCTGCAGGTCTTGTCCATGAAGCACGTATCTACACATCAGGGACCAGCCCCAGATGCACAAGTCCCCCTAGCAAGGCTGGTGCCTTGCACAGGCTCACAGGCACAGAAACAGGCCAGACAGACACCCAGCTCACCTTCTGCAGGACCTTCCAGACCTTCTGGTAGAAGCCCACAGGGACACGGTTGAGGGCCCCATCCAGGCGCCGTCTCCGCTGCCACTGGCCCTGGCGGCTGTCCTTGCTGCCCTGGTCCTCTAGCATGCTTGAGAAGGAGCCCTTGCCCAGCAGCTCCGCATGCCCAGTGGACTGGGCAGACAAAACAAGGAACACAGAGACCACTTCAAAGTTAAATATCCCACAAGAACGCAGCCTGCTGCTGCCCAAGAGTTTGTGCTCACCCAGACCGATTCCCAGGGCAGGGCTGCCACGTCCTGCCCACGAAACCCACCCTGCAGCCCTGGCTCCCCAGCACCCCCCAGAGCACAGCTCTTTTCTGTCAGCATAAACAGGACAGGCCCTATGTGTGCAGTTAACAAACACAGGTTACCAGAGAGGACTTCAAGTCGCTGTCCCCGGACTGCAAACTGAGAGGCTGAAGAAGAAAAGGGGAGAAAAAAAATCAGACTGTGCCAGAAAAGGGCAGCAACCACAGCAAGCCCAGCAGCAGCAGCAGCACCGACCAAGCTCAGGTCACAGGGCAGTTACCCCAAGGGCTGTGGTTAGCTGGAAACTGAGAAGTAGTTTTGAAAAGTGAGCTGTGGAAAGTCTCACGTTAACATCAGAGGGGGAAGGACTGAGCCAGGGCTCGGCGGTGGGGCCCCCATGTGCCAGTGCTGTTGCAGCAGCAGGCTTGTGCTGGTCAGCACACAGGAGCAGGGCTGCTACTGCTCTGTTGGCTGCTGGCATGGGCAAAGTTATAGTCTCAGGTAGACTAGAGGGCTGGCAGCAAGGTCACTGCCGATGGATGACCCTCCTCTCCACATATGTGCTTCCTCTGCCATGCCAGGTTTCACACTGCAGCAAGTGGGCCCAAAACCTGCTGCATGAGCCTGGTGCCCACAGGCCTTGTCTCTTTGAGGACGGGACTCCTCCTAGAGTTCAGGACTCCTCTTGGACACAGAAGAGGTACCAGAGGAGGTCCTGGTGACTTGTAACTGGGCAGAAGCCTCTTACCCTAGAGAAGAAATAGCTGAAGAGGCTACAGGCAGGATCCAGTGGTCACCACTGAACTACCTAGCAGGGCTACTGCTGCTAGTAGCACTGGAAACATCATGCCATCCCACTCACAAAGTTCTTGTGGGTATAATGGGCCCTATTTGGCCATATCAGCTATGGAAGCCAGCTTATTGCTGCAGCAGCTCACTCAGGGGGTTTGTTTAGGAAAGCTCATTAACTCATGCATGCTCAGAAGCTGCCCTGGTGCGTGGCGTGAGGGATAAAAGCTGAGGCTGCAGGAAGACCAGGGTGGCTTCACCTTATTCCCAGTCAGAGACTGCCTACGTTTATCCAATTGCTGCAAGAGAAGAAGGAAATGAAGTTTCTGCTGCTGGAAGAGGCCCACCAAGACACCAGCCATGCCTGGGACACTGCATGGTCCTCCCCAGCCCTGCACCTTCTCGAGTACCCCATGTGTTCTCCCCATCCTGTCCTGCCAGAGCAATCCTCATCCCCACTAACACATTTACCCCATTTCTCGCCCCAGGGTCAGGACTGGAGCCAAAAGGTACTCCTGGAAGTAGCTGTAATCTCTCTAAAACCCAGGAAAGAGCTCCCTCCTGCATTCCCATCCATCTCATCTGTCCTGTAGCTGCTTGTCACCCACAAAACCTGGCAGAAGCAGCCTGCACCATTTGCCCTCACCTGTTTGATCTCACTTTTCAGCCTGACAATGCCAGCACGCTCAGGCTTGGTGGCCCCGACAGCCTCCACCTCACAGATGGAGACAGAGGTGGTGAGCGATGAGTCGACCGATCGCACTGGAGGGGAAGAAAGGTCTAGAGTGGGTACCAGGGCTCAGGACACGGACGTCCCTTACAGCTCCTCAGGCACTGGTACTTCTGCACACCCTTGCCCTCCATCCCAACCAGCACCAGAGATCTGTGAGCACAGCACAGAACTGCTTCAATTCAGGCCTGACCGTGCCAAGTGCGAAACTAAACAATGCCCCAGCAGTCACAGGACTTGGGTTCGATCCCTGGAAATCAGCTCAGCATCACCCTGCTGAAGAGCACAGCTTCTTGCTGAACCACTGCAGTGCAGAAGCAGGAGGGAACGCAGTGCTGAACATGCAGGACAGGGACATATCCCACAGGCGGGAACACCTGGAGCTGGCCTTGCTCCACCCCAAGACCCAACATTGCCTAGAGATGTTGTCACAACCTTGCTGAGAGACTCACCGCTCCTTTCCACCCCAAACTCCTTGCCAGAGAGGATGTGGTACAGAAGGCTCTTCATGTCTGATGGACTGAGATTCATCAGGTTCTCAGTGGCTTCTCTAGCTGGTGAGGACAGAGTTGGGATATTGCACCCTGCTTCACAGCCTTCCTGGGACATTTCTACCCTGCATCCCACTCTATTAGCAGGGGAAGCACTGATACAGGAGTTCATCGTCTAAGGACATATGCTAACTCCAGGTGTTGCCTACAACTGAGACTCTTCCCCATGCCAGCCCAACGCACAGCTGAACAGAGACCACACTGAAATCACCTGCTTGTGCTGCCCAAGAACAGTCCCAGCGGCAGACCCCAGCACTTTGATGCAGGATCTTGTCCTGGCACTGAGCTGCCCATTTTTAACAGCACTTCTCCTTCCTGGCTGACAGGGCCCCAAGCACCACAGCACCCACCCAGCCAGGGTGCCATCCCCGCCACACGTACCCGAGCAGCGCAGGGAGTGCGCCAGCTCCGTTGCCATCACCTGGATGATGAGCCCGATGCGGATGCGGAACATCTCGGTGAAGAGCGCAGGCTGCGTACGGATGTACATGGCCAAGTACACCATGATCTCCTGGAGGAGAAGATGCAGGCAACTCCACTGCCACTCACCAGGGCAGACACTCGGCTGGGGGAAAGCCCGCCACCCTGGCCCCTTACCTGGGTGAGGATGGATACACTGAGGTTCTTCTCACTGGCTTCATCAATGAGGCAAACAAGCTGCTCATAAGGGAGCGGGCTGGCAACACAACAAACGGCAGAGCAGGTGAGAAGCAGCAGAGCGAGCCCTGGGTCCCTCCCGGTCTGTACAGCCTGGAGAGGAGACAGCCCGGCAACAGCCACCCACAGCTGCTCCGGCCCACAGACTCTGGGGCAATGGGGTCACCAGTCCCAGCCCAGCACGTGGAGGTACCACACTCACGCAGAGATTGTCTTCTCACGTGGTTCTGGGGGCAGCCCCACCGTCAAGTGCTTCTGGTGAGACAGGAGGTCAGTGCAGGCCTGGGGACAGAAAAGGTCACCCCAAGCATCATCAACAGGCCAGGGTTTGGGGTCTCAGCACAAGGCAGAGGGAGACAGAGCTGATATAGCCAGTTTGCCTGCCCACTCTGCAGCCTCCTTCCTGACAGACCTCAGCCTGTAGAGGCAAACTTCACAGTTGTTACCTCGTCCAGAGCTTCCACTTTCTTCTTGAGGATGCCGGAGATGTAGCGGATCAGCGCCCACTGGCGCGTGTGCCCCACCCTCACGTACAGCTCCGTGAGAAGTTCTTTGACAGTGGGACCAGGCTCGCTATCAAGCCCCGTGTGCCACTCGGGGCCCCTGCAGTAAAGGAGATGCTGGGTTATAGGCAGCAATCTGCCCTGCAGCAGCTCCCAGGCAACCCTCAGGCTCTGCAGGTTGGGACGCATGCATAACTGTGCCAGCTCTTTTTCTGTTCAGTCAGCCAGCAGGACTTGGAGCTCATCATACTTGAGGATGTGGAGCATGTAGAGGATGTCTGCTTGCTCCTGCAGCGTCGGGCACATGCGCAGCTGGTCCACCAGTGCTTTGCAGTCAACATTACCATCCTCATCACGGGGCAGATTCATCTCTGCACAGGGCGTGTGGCTCTGCAGGAATGAAGACCCACACTCCTGGTTAGCACCATCAGCATCCCACACCAAGTGCAGTTTGGTTATGGAGCCATGGCCATTCACACGTGGATATTCTCCCTCACCAAACACCAAGCCTTGCCCATTCAGCCTTGAAAGGACCCTCTGGCTCCAGGAGGGACAGGACTCACCTTGCCATCCATGTCATGCTGGTGGGGTGAACTCAGCAGCTTGACTGACTGCTGGGATGCCTGAAAGATCTTGCTGGGGACATACATCCCAACATCTAAAAGAAAGCCAAGGTTAGTGTAGAAACATCTCAACCCTAATCACCAGTGCTGTGCCCCACGCCACCTCACATCTGATGCTCTGCTCCCTCAGCAGCCCCTAAGAGACGTCAGCTGTGGGAGAAGCAGTCCCTAGCCACCCAGTGAGAGGACCACCACAGCGTGCTGCCATCCCTTATTGTTCAGCAGTTTCCACAGACTGCAGACACCAACTCCAAGATACTCCATGGCCAGGACTAACACAACAGACATAGTATTAGAGATGCTCTACAGCCCATGGGGTCCTCAGCATCACACAACTAGGAGAGCTCCCAAGGCACCTCAGCTGCACCCCCAGGCTTGAGCAGAGGTGCTAAGGGTGCTGGAGTCACTCACTCTGGACATGAAGGTCCTTGGCCTTGGACGCCAGGGACATGAGGTCGCGGGTGGTGTGCACGGCAGCCCGGAATCGGTTCAGGCCTCCCCGCTGGGCGGTGGGAGGGAGGAGGTTTGAGTGGGGAACCGTGCGCTGCAGCAGGTGGTCCAAGTACTGAGCAACCTCGTCGTACGAGTCAGCTGAAGGGGAGGCAGAAGAGGAGGTGGGGTTCAGCTGTTTGGTACGGGGGCAACCCCAGGCCCCGGAGAGCTCCACAGCTGCATCTTTGCAAGGACAAGGCTCTTCTGGCTGCACACAGCGACAATGGGGAGCTAGTGCCAGCAGCCAGATGGACGATGCCAGCAGCTGGGCTCACAAAGCCCAGCAGCCACAGCACCCCTGTTCCTGCACTACTCCACTCACTGCCTGGGACACTGGCTGCCAGCTGGGGCCACACTGGGGCTCCCTCCGAGTCTCATGTGGATGAAGAAAATGATGGGCTGCAGCATGTGTCTGGTCCAAGCCTGTGCAAGGACTGTAGAGTCTACCCACACCCTGCAGTTTTTTTAAACCTTGCAGGGAAACCCTCCCTCCCTTTCCCTCCAGGGAAGAAAGGGAGGCACAGCCGGGGCAGCCTGTCCAAGCAGAGACTACTCAGGAGCACCCCAGCACAGCAATGGTCTGATCTAAGCAGGAGTCCAGCATGGCAACAAGGCAGGATGAGATTTCCAACAGTTATTTCTGATTAGAAATTACCAGTTATTTCAGATTAGGAGTTAGAGGAGTGGTTATGGCCCCTGCCTTCCTCTTTGTCCAGCTTTCAGCAGTTCTCATTGCTCCCACCACCACACTGGGAGCACCAGAGCCACTGCTTGCTGGCTGTGGCATGGAGGAGGGTGCTCAGAGGCCACATCTCTGCTCAGCCAGCAGAAAACAGGACTACCCAGCAGTGAGGGGGATGCCCTGGGAGTCAGATGCCCTATGCGAAGTCAATGCAATAAAACACAGCTGTTGGTGCCCTTCCAGCCAGTGGGCCAGGGCAAAGCCTCACTGCTCTCCAACTAGCAGGCAAGTGCTGTGGTATATCTGCCCCAGGAGATGAGCTGAAGGCAGCATCTGAAGCCCCTTTCCACACCTGGTGGGGATGCCTCGTGCTGGTGCCTGAAGGCTCGGCTAGAGGAGTCCCCCAGACATCAGGCCTCAGAACATCATCCTGCCTAGCTGCAGCATCTGATTGGAGGCAAAAAAACCCTTAAAAACTGAGCATCTTCTAACTGCTGTAGAGAGGCCAGACAGGCCCTGTCTCCCACTGAGGCTGGGGGGAAAGCAGACACCCTTGGAGGAGCCTGGGTGTCACCTGCAAGGAGACTGCAGTCACATGAGGACGGCAAGAGAGCTAAGTGGTCAGTCACAGCAGTGCAGGCTGGCTACTGGAGCAGCAGAGGCAGAGCAGACTGACGGGAAGGCTGGGAAGATGACCAACACTAGGTCATGCAGGAGGACATACCCACGCCTGCCTGCAAGCAGAGCAGCAAAACTTGCATCCTGCCACGGTCTCAGAACAAGGCGGGTCCATCATGCTGTGATGGGCTAAGGCCCTCTCGGGCATCCTATCCACAGCAACAAGGCCTCAATTTGTCACCCACTGGAGCAGCTCTGCCCAGGGAGGGTCAAAGGCTGGGAGAAAACAACACTCAGAGATTGCCTGGGGACATGGTGTCTCTTTCCCACCACCTCAGATGCTGTACCATCACTTTCTGCACCAGATTCTCAGCCAAACCTCCTGAGTGGAGGCAGGTTGTCAAACTTTTGTCTCTTCCCTATGCAACAGCCTATGAAAATCAGAGCAGTTCATTCCAGAGCATCCTCCAGACTCTTCACATCCACCAGCCTCAGCCCCACCTGGCAAGGAGGCTACAACAGCTGCATCAGTTCACACAGCCCCACCCCACTGCTGTCACCGTGAGAGTCACTCAAGCAAGGTTAATTGATGGAGGGTCACATGGGAACAGAAACATGGTGAAAACTCATGTGTAAGAATAACTAGGTGGCAGATGCTGGCAGGGAGGTTTTTTGGTGTTACAGGTTTACAGGTGACTCTGGCATTTGCCACACTACAGCAGCGACTGGCCTGTTCCCCCTTACCATCCTCTGCTACGTGCAAGCCATGCAGCCACTCCTTGGCATCTAGCTCCTCAAAGCTGTCAATGCTGAGCTCATAACTCTTGGCAAAGACCTTACCCTCTGGCCCAGGGTCCATAAAGCTGAGGTGTGTTCGGCACGACGTTGTCAGGAACTCCGACAACTTACCCGTCTGGATCCTGGGCAAGAGGAGGGGAGGTCACACAGAGAGGAAGAGGGAGGCAATACTCTTGGGCTTTGCCTCCTGGATCCAAGCAGGCCCTTTGGCAGGGAGAGACACTCTTGTCCAGGAGCATACGCATGCCCTAGTGCTTGCTTTTGAGCTGCCTGCAACTCCTCCAGCCACTGTTGGGCATGGAAGGGCTGCCCGAAAGCTATTAGAAGGATCCTGCAGCCATGGGTTTACTGGCATGAAAAGACATGTTCCACCTGCATATCCTCCATCAGAATTGCACCCCTGGAGTGCACTTACAGCCTAGCACACCCCAGTGTATCCTCCACAGCCTGTTCCCCAACAGCTGGTGCTCAGGCCCAGCAGGTACCCTCATAACCAGGCTCTTGGAGGCTACCAGCCCTCTCCCCTCCTGCACCCCCGGAAGCTGCGCTCACCTTGCACCACCGAAATACCCGTCCTGCAGCTTCCGCAGCATCGCCAGCACTGTGGGGTGCACGCTGCTGCCCGTTTCATCTGTTGGGAACAGAGACACAGGCAGTCAAAGTCCCACTCAAAGATGCTCCCAGAAGGTTACACAGGGCCAGGTGGGCATTCAGCTGTGCAAAGCACCGTGGCACCAGCCAAATCCTTCCTTTGGGATGCACTGCCAGGCCATGGAACAAAAAGCGCCACTGCAAAAGGGCAATTCAGGACTGCCCAGGCTGGATTCCAGGAAAGGCAGGCCAAGATGTGCTCCAGGCTGCTGGGATTCACCTTGGCCTGAAGCCAACAGCACCATACAGCAGCACCCACACAGCCCCCTGGTCTGTGCCCAGCTTCCAAACGAGGCATCGGAAGGGACGCTGCTGTCAGGGCCAGGAGACACCACAGCAAATGGCAAGCTCAAGACAATTTCAAGTACACAAGGAGAGACAAAAAGGCCTGAAAATAGAACCCTCCCCTGCACCAGGCTCATGAGGAAGCTGTGAGCTGCTCCAGAGAAGCCGGTTTTCCTCTGCACTATTGCACAGCTCTTTGCTCCCTCATTTGCTGTTTTCCCCTCCCTGTTGTCTAGAAAAGCCTCTAGCAGTTAGGTAGTCTTAATGAAGAGACAAGATGCAGGAAGAGCCTCAGGAATACTTTTACAATGGGATTTTTTTTTCCTTCTTGTTCCTAAAAGGCCTCCCAACAAGTCTAGCTGCCCACAGACCAAATACCTCCACCATGCCAGCAAACACTCCTTGAGCTGCAGGCACTACTGCCTGGCAGGCAGCCCCACTAGCTGTCAGGACAGCTGCCAACTCAGTGTGGCTCCTTTGAGTAGCAAGCTCTTTGCAGGACAGTACTGGCTGTTCGAGCCCCACCATGTCCCCATTACCAAAACAGTCCCACATCTGCCCACCCCCTTCCTCCCACAGTGGTTGTTTCCCAGGGCTGCTCTAGCCAAATGTCTTGTGAGGCTGAAGGATCTGTACCGAGCATGGTGTGGGAGATGGGGAAGGTGATGGTTGGTTGCCCAGTCATCCTCCAGCGGCTGCAGAGATACGAGAGATCCGTCCTCAGCATTTCCACAATCATCTTATTGTCAAGAGCCAGATAGAACTGCTGCTGGTCTATGAACTGCAAAGGCAAGAGGAGACATGAACAGCCCTTCTCACAGTGGCCTTTGGTGCCACCTGCGTCTTCCCACAGGCGCTCAGCCAGGCCAGCCATACAGTGCACCCAAGGAAGACGCTTCTTTGCACCAAAAGCTCATCCCACCTTACCTAGCAGGTGCCAGCACAGTCTAGCAAAGGAGTCCCTACTCTCAGGGCATTTACTGGCCACTAGCAGCTGTAAGTGTGGTGTGGTAACACCACAGCTCAGCAGCAGCACGACCAAGACCCCACCCAACCAGTCTGTACTGTGCACATCTCAGGTGAATAGGCACTTCTCACACCAGGCTTGTAACCCTACTTGCCCCTGTGCCATGCTGGACACAGGGGACAGAGGGATCCCAGTCCTGCCACCAGCCTCTTCCTGGTGTCCTTGTCATGGTAAAGAAAGAGATTTTCATTCAACACCAATCATCAGAAACCATTTGAAACTACCTCCTCCCACTACACACTCATCCAGGACTACCAACTCTGCGGCTTTGTCTCTGGGACCGTCCTCAGGCTGTTCAGAAGGTGTTGGGCCACCTCTGAAGACAACTTGAGCACTCAGACAGTGGAGAAATCTCATGCCCACCAGATCACACGACAGCTAGGAATGAGCCTGTGCAATGCCACTCACCTGTGGGGTAAAGGTAAAGATGTTCTTCCTGATGTCGTAGAGCTTGGAAGTCCCAAGGACTCCCATGTGCCGGTAGGGCCGTCCTGTCAGGCACATCTGCTTGTTGCGGCCTAGCGGGGGCAGGAGGAGGAGTGTTTAGTGCAAGCCTCTTCATGAAAGGGGATGCAGCAGCAAACAGACAGGCCTCTGTGCTGCCAGCCAGCAGGAGGATGGTTTGTGGCGGGGGTAATCCAGGACCCTGTTTTGAGCCAATAATCTGTCCCCCAGTTCTGTCCAGGGGGCTAGAGACACCCACTCCCTCCCTAGGGACTCTTGCTGAAATAAGAATAAATAGCCTGTCCTGGTCTCTACAGCACGCCACACCTCCAGGTCTTTGGGGATGTCAGAAGCTGGGGCAGGGCCAGGGATCTCCACCCCGCACAGGGCTGGCCCCCTAAAGCTGACAGCTCCTTCAGTGTTCCCATTGCTCCTGGATCAGTCTCAGAATCCAGGACGGTGCAGCAGCAGCAGCATCGCCCCTTGGTTATGTCAGCATTGGCAGCTGCCAGGCTGCTCCCCTGCCCCTTTTGCCCATGTTACACTTGGCCTTTTGGAGGCTTAAATTAGCCAGTGCAAGCAGCCTACAGTGGATCAGGTTTCTCCTTTAGCCCAGGCTGGGTATCCAGCTCCTGCACAAAAAGGCCCATGCCTGAAGGGTTGCTGCATGAGGGAACAAGCACGCAGAGCTCTGAGCACACTTTCCCCTCACGCTCAGTCCTGCCAACCCTCCAACAACACTCGTCCCACCTGAGTTACAAGCTCTCTCAGCCAGGGACTTCCAGGGGACCCCTCTCTGGTGTCTGGTTTGCCTCAACCATTGAGATCTGGGTACAGAAACACAAGCAGGCTCCTGCCCACACCAGGTCCAGCCTATACAGATCAGAGCCTCTGCCTGTGGGGCAACTGTGCAACTGCAATGCCAAGGCTTTGTCCCTTTCAGAATCACCTTGAACAGCAGTGCCTGCCACCCCAGCTCCCCTTGGGAAGGAGTAGCTTTACCAGACCCAGGAACAGGTGACAGAGCCCTCATCAGCCAGGCAGAGAGTAAGGCAGGATATCAGCATCTATGAGCAGGAGTGCAAAGGGATGGGACAGACCCTTCTGCACTCCCTTTGCTGCAGGAGCAGGGGCCCAGCTCACCCAGCCGGGCGTAGATGTGACTAAGGATGCGAGCAGGCTGCACCCTGATGGGGTAGACATCTGCCACGGTCTCCACGTCGATGTCCTCCTTCCTAAGCACAGCCTTGATCCCCTCCGTCTCTGCCAGGATGCACACTGCAGAAGGAGGAAGACAGGGGCACAAGGGTGTGACATTACTGCCCAACTGGCTGTTTGGGACACATATAAGTTGCCATGTCATGTAGAGTCACTCATCTGCCCTGCTCCTCTGAACGCTCTCTATACCCGACCTGCCCTGCTGAGTGGCAGGACAGTTTTCAACCCTTCTGCACAGGAGGCTGTAGCAGGTGATATTTCCCCGAGGCAACACATGGTGGAGTGGAAGGACTTGGACCCCACCTCACACCCACCTTACCAAGACTTGAGATCTAGCCACACTGGCAGCCGCCAAGCAAAAAGAGCTACCTCAGAGCCACCCTCGTGAATTCCACATGGACAGAGTCCCCAGTTTGGGGCCAGTCCTTTTCCCTCACCTTGGACCACCACATCAGGCTTGGGGACAGTCGAAAACCGGCGGTTGAGTGGATCTATTTCACCAGGAGCTAGAAAGCCCTGAGGAAAGAGAAGTATGAAAAGATGAACACTTCATAGACAGGGTAGAACTAGTGATGTCTACAGACAACATGCCTTTAAGAGGTCCTGGGAGATGTAGGTGACAACTTCCCTGTGGTTAGTGGCTCAGGGTGGTGGCATTTGCCCTTTCAGACCTCAGAGCCTGGCCCCAGAGTCCTCCCCAGCACTAGGGGTGACCATACCTCGGCCATCAGACAGCCCAGGATGTAGAGGGACTGCCCCCACATAAGCGGCAGCTTGCCCATGGGTATCCTGTCCACAGTGTGGGGGTTCCTGTACTCCTCATCCACCTGGAAGACAAGCCAGGAGGTCAGGGAGGGATCCACAGACACAGGATGCTGAAGGAAGCATCATCATTGCATTTTGACATCCAGCAGGTTAAGGCTTAAAACAAGAGCCTAAGAAAGCACTTGCCACCGAGGGTCCAAAACATCCTGGCTACATTCCTCTTCTCTACTCATGATTGCCCCAGGCACCCACACCAGACAACAGATTAGCTGCTCAGACCATGTTTGGGTTCCCAATGGCTGCCCACCCCACAGGAACCACTGACATGCCCCAGGAGCACCAGGTGATGACACTCGATGTTGACAAGGAGAGCATCACCTGGTGATCTCTTCTGTACCATCTGGACACCAGGAAGCCATGGCTCTCAGCCCAGGCCCACACAAACAGCCTCACACTGAACAGGAGCTCAGCACAACCTCCTCAACCCAGGTCCACATGTCCTGAGCTCTTAGAGGACTCTCTAACTCCAGGCTAGCAGACTGTCAGCAAAGCACCCTTGTGTATGCACCCAGGAAATGTTCTGGGGAAAAAAAAGCAGTGTGCTTATCCAAGAGGGTTTTATAACAGGTTCAAGTCACGCTTTTTTTACAAGGGGTTTCCATGTACTACATGTGCTGCTTTACTAACAATTTGGGTTAATAAGCAGTTAAAACCTTTCCTGCTCCCAAGGCAGCTCAGGCCCACTCACCTTATCTGCTGGGACACTGTACAGCTCTGGCATCAGGCGCACCCCGTTCTTCCCCTTGATGAGAATGCCCTCGAGGGCCTCCCGGTACTCCTGCACCTGAGGAGAGAGGATCTGCCCCTGGGCCACAGCTCCCTGCATCCTTCCCCCACACACCTCCTTTGCCAGGGACTTCTTTCCACTGGGTTGAAAAGTTCTGCCTCCCCTACCTGCTCCATGTTTCCACTGAAAATCCCATCAATGATCAAGTATGCCCAGAAAAGAGGCCACTCGCACTCGATGTTCTCAAAGAGCTTCAGCTCAGCAGGTTCATAGTACGGGCGGTTGGGGTCCTGCGGGGAGGGCGTGACAGCAAGGCAGGTAATAGGTGGCAGTATCCCCTTCAAACTCCTACTCCCCCCAAGACCTCAGGCTCAAAAGCCCTCCCAGTCCTCTGAGGATGATGGCTGAGACAGTTGAATAACAGTTTCCCCTCCAGGCTATGTCCTCTCCATCAGACACACCCTCACAAGCCCCCTGCATTGATGGCCCATGACACTGTCAGGGGCTGCTCAGGGCTCTCATCTTTGCAGTGCTCCTCACCATAGCCTTTGCGCTGCACCCAGGGGGGCTGCAAATGCCACCCAGGGCAGCTGCTGCTTGGCACTCAAGTTCTGGCAGGTAGTAGGACTAGGGACACTTACCTCTTTGGGGGTCCTGTATCCATCCCGGAGGAAGCGGCAGCAGCCATAGCGCCCCTGAAAGGGAGAGAAAGAGGTGCTAAGCAGGAGGCACAGTGTGAGATATCTTGTACCACCAATGCATGGGGGCATGTCTCCTCCAGCCAAATACCCCCTTGACTCGCTCACCTAGTGCTCAGGCACCACAATCGCAGCCTAGGGCCACAGTACACAGGACTGTTTCTTTTCCTGTCCCTGCCACAGGTCACAGAGACTGGAAGAGGACATGCCCCAACAACCCCTCCCCGAACATGCTTTTGGGGAGAAAAGGGATTTGACAGTTTGGACCGCAACTGTTTCCTGGGAATGGTGAGACAAGTGCAGAGCTACTCACCTGCAGCTTTGTGATGATCTCATGCTTGGTGATTTCCACCAGCTCACCGTCCTCCACAGCAAATGCTGGGTAGGAGATGACAGAGAGCACGCTGGCATCCACCTCCTTGGACGTGGAGGCCCTGGGCAGCATCGAGTGGAGAATGGACTGGGAAAAAGGGAAAAAGGGGTGGTTAGGTTGCCAGTGTGGACATCATTCACACGGCTGCCCCAGCGTATCACAGTTCATCCTCCCGTGGTACGAAGCCATGTGGGTCTCACCTGGCAGTGCTGGACCTGATCCGACAGCACCCGTATCACCGACTGTGGGCCTCCTTTCGCTCCAAAGAGATCCAGCTCATCCAGTGCCTCCAGGGCAGCCTGCAAGCAGGGAAAGACACAAAACAGCAAGTCTTCCACCACACTGCTCATCTGTGAGAGCTCTCACCACATGCCAGCACCTCTGTATAAGGCACAGCCCACATTTAAATAAGTTTAAACGCTGGTGTGGCTGCAGAGCACCCCAGGTCAGAATGTGATCACATCTCCAAAGCCACAAGTAGTCAGACATCAACAGAGCCCTGGACATTCCTGCCCCAACCCCCAATTAATTTCTCACTCCTCGTTCAGGCAAAACTCAGGCAAGAGTGACATAGTTTCGTCCCAGTATGCAAGGAGAAAGCTGTTCCTAGAGAGGAAGACTACTGTTCAACATGCCCAGTCTTTCCTGTAAAAAAGCAGTGTTGGGCCACCAGTGCTCCCGGGCACCCACCCAGCATCTCTCCCCGGCTCACCTTGGCCATGCCAACAGAGCTGGCATTCAGCTCGGTGATGCCCTGGTTCGTCTTGTCGCCGCGCTCCCATATCCCGAAGTCCTGCACAGAGGCAGCAGCACGTTGGAGCAGGCCACGCTTTACAGCACACCCAGGCAGCCTTTGAATACCACCCACTGGCAGTGGTCCCAGCAGGCACCATGGGACATGGCCCACCAGGGTTCAGGAGCAACTCACAGCTGCCCCTAGACACCAGCCCACCACATGCACCCCAGGGCCACGCCCCCCTGCCCCTGCACAGGATACCCACCGCAGTTTTGTAGGCTGCTTCAATGTAGAACACCAGGTTCTGGATAAAGTTGACTTCATCCAGGGTGTGAATGATGTGGAGGCCTGAAGCAGAAGGAGGAATTCACATTAGTTGCTTCAAGCCCAGAGGCGTCCCTAAGAAGGGGTTGCAGTACTCCAGGTCAGAACCCTCCACCCTCCTGCACGCCTGCCCCACAGAAGCCATCTTCTGGCTGGCTCCTATCCCCACCACCCCCCTCTGTGGCAGCTCTGGGGCTTCAGGCGAACAGGAGCTCTGAGAGAGGTGGACACTGAGGGCTACGAATCCACCTTGGGTGCTGTGAGTATAAGAAGACACTGAGGTCAGGGAGGCCACTGCAGCAGCTTTGCACCAAGGAAGCTGCACCCAAACTGAGAACGTGGATAGCCCTGGAGATCATCATGCTCAAAGCTGCAATGGCATCCCTAACAGCATCACCTGAGGCTGTCATTTGCGCCAGCATGAGCAGGTAGAGGGAAGTGGCATCCATCTGTAGGTGACCCCACTCGTTGTCCCCCACCACAGTGGCACAGGTGCGGGTGTTGTACTTGGCATGCAGGCAATCCCTGGTGCTCTGGCTGTACTTGAATGCCTCCACCTTGTCCACCTTGAGAGGGGCAAGAAGATGTACGGGTTCATCAAACCCTGGCTCCAGAGAGGTGTGGCAGAAATCCTGCAGCCCCTGGCTGAGCCCCTCCATGCACCAAGGCACTGAGTACTGGCTCCTGTGCCACCCTAGAGCAGGGCTGCAGCTGTGGAGGGCCCAAAGCACCATGTGGAGAGAAAAGGGTCTCTCCCTAGGTGCCCTCAGGGAGGAGAGCTGCAGAGTCTCAGCACCAGCCAGACCACAAGACAGGGAGCAGCTGGCAAAGGCTCCACTGGCCACCAGCCCGCAGCACTGGGAGTTCCATCACGCCACGGACAGATGCCAAGTTAGAACTTATTTCAAGACTTGCTGAAAGGGGACCTTCCCTCCACTCATCAGGAAAGGCTGGGGAGAGCTGGCACAGCTGGGACTGACAGTCTTTGTGGTAGAGATAGGTTTTGAGGAGACCGCTTGACTTTCAGAGGTGCTTCCCACCCCCTACCTGTCTCATCATGCACTGGAGTAGGCCCCGCATCAGCTTCACCACGCTCTGCAGGAACAAGGAAAACAGCTATGTTAATCCCCATGTAGCCAAGAGAAGCCCTGACTCAGGATCAGCTGGCCACTGACCTTTGTAGGGCTCCAGCACCTGTAACCAGAGCCCTTGCTCATATTTCCATGGCTCCTGCTCCCTAGGTGACAGCAGAGGGAAGCAAGATTTCTGGGCCTGCCAGCAAGCCTGAGCTGCTGCGCAGGGGGGAGGAAGGGCACGGCTGCAGGACGCAAGTCCCCAGCACTTGGGAGAAGGGCTGCGTCTCAAGATCACCCCAGAGCCAGAGGAATGGACTCTCCGGCTGGGCTCCAGCATGCTTTGGAAAGTGGGTGGGCTCCGATATCCCTCCCTGTCGCCCCCTACGCCTGGGGACAGCCCTGCCCCTATCCTCACTGCAGAGCCTCCTGCGGCCTTTTGGCCCCAGAACTGGATGGTGCCAACAGCAAACCCGCCAGGAGCGAAGGGCCGCCGGCGGGCCCCCGCCGACCCCCGCCCTCCCGCCGGCTCCCTCCCACCTGCTCCAGCTCGTAGGCCTTAGCCTTGTCCTCGTCGCGGTCGGCGTTCTTGCGGTAAGCCAGGCCCAGCCCCCAGACGGCCAGGATGCTGTAGACGTTGTCCCGGA